TCCTTCCAGGGAACACTTTCACGGCCCCACCGAGGGGTGTCACCTTCTCAGCACTGCCGAGGGGTATGCCTCTTTGTCAATTTAAGAGCCCATCAAGCTGACAACCAAGATTAAGTCTGATGACCTCCTTGTAGAAGTGGGAATGGAGACAAGTATTTGTGGGTACTCCGAAGAAATGTCTTTGAGGGGAGACATCTTTGGTTTGAGACGACCAGCCTCCAGCAGTGTTACCCTGACAACGGTAAACACAGACTGTGTGCATATCTGCATACAGATCTGAACACACATTGGGCTGTTCTGTGAGCATTTGTGTTCATTTCCCTCTCTATGGCTGGTCGCTGGGCCTGGAGGAGCTGAGGTCTGTAGGTGTGTGTCCCCTCAGTGGTCATGCTGGTTAACATGTCTATGAGCCCAAACTCATACTGAAGGCGACTCTCCCCACCATAAGGCCTTGGACTGTAACAGTCTTGAGACATCCTGTGTTCCCTTTGTGCAACATTGTTTGATTCGCTTCCTGCAGACTTGCTCCCACTGTATGACGGACAGGTTCTGGTGACTTTGTCCCATTCCTTCCCTGGAAAGAGTAGTAGACAAGATGCTGTACTTCTAAATACGCGTGCTTGGCACACAACAGCTTATGCCAGACCTCCGGAGCCCACCTGTCCTATCTGCCTTTTCTGCGATCCCCTGGACCTTCCTCCTCAGGACCCTGACGCTGAAGAAGGACCTGCTGGTCCAGGTCAGGTGAGAGTTAGCAAGGCAGCCTGAGGAAGAGCTCTCAGGCTTCCAGGGGGACCCAGGAAGGGGGTGGGGGTGCTGGTTTGGGTTAGGAAACACTACCTTCTTCCTAAAGCAGGCATTTAGACAGAGTAGGACCACTTCCCTCCCTCCCATCTGAAAATACTTACTTTTCACCTGGGATTATGGTTTGTTTGCATTTCCAGGTGACAGAATTCAGAAGTAACTCCTAAATGTGATCAGAGTTAGAAGATGTGAGGGTCCCAGCTGGGAGAGTCTGATTTCTGTGGCTGACAGTGCCAGCTCTGAAGACCTGAAGGTCCACACTGAGTACATGGTGAAAGCCAGTAACCAGATCCAAGACCCTCACAGCATGCTCACATGCCTTCTCTCACCCAGCAGGTGGGCATTCTGAGATATAAGGTGATAGCGGGGAAGCTAATCTACAGAGAAGACATGCTCTGGGACTAACATCCGTTGTTTATTGCTTTTCTCTTCTAAGCACCGGATCAGCACCCAGTTAATAAAGTAGCACACAAAGGGAGGTGTGTGCATGATGGTGTGTGTTGTGTGGAATGTGCTGCATGCCAAGTGCAAGAGTATGTATGTATGTATATGATGGTGTCTGGTGTGTGGGGTGTATGGGAGATGTGTGTGTTTGGAGTGTATGGGGGCAGTGTTGTTTGTATGTGTGGTGTTATTTGTATGTGTGTAGATGTATGTGGTAGTAAATGATATGTGTATGGTGTGTGTGTGTGTGTGTGTGTGTGTGTGTGTGTGTGTGTGTGTGTGTATAGTGGTATCTGATGTGTGTGAGGTATATGTGTTTGGTGTATACATACTTTTGTGTATGCATTACAAGTGGTATATGATGTGTGTGTGTGTGGTTTGATATGTGTATGTATGTGGTAGTATGTATGTGATTTGAGTGTGTGGTTGTGTGTGCTGTGAGGTGTGTACGTGTGTGGTGAATATATATATATACATATATATATAATGAATATATATATATAATGCAAATTAATACATAAGCAATGATAACTGATTTAGAATAACCCCCTTGAGTCTTCAGCTTTTCCTCTACACTTCCCTGCTCTCTCTTAAAATATATTTTCCCTCAAAGGAAATTTTACTTAAAATTTAGGAAAACTCTGGTACTCAAAAGTTCAGAATAATGAACTGGATCTCAGTTGTGGCCGCTGTGCTGACAACGAGGTACATTAAGGACAGCAGAGATGGGGCATATTCTAGAACAAGCTCCACAGCTTTCATTTCTTTGTTACTCACTGTGGCAAGCACAGCTTTATCCAAGAAAATGAAGAAGTTAGTGGAAGGCTAGAGAATGTATTTTGATATTCAGGAGACTTGCCGAGTACCTATCAAGTTGTGTGCTGGGCTCTGCGTCTACAGTGGTGATTGAGAACCTGGCATAGATGTTTTTTCTCCCGATTATGAGCAAAGTTCTTGCTTTCTTGGAGTGAGTACTCCGGTAAGAAAGAAAGCAGTCAGTCACACCGATGAACGCCACCCCTGCAGCCTGGACAAGTGTCAAGTAGGCTGTGTGCACAGGACCACAGAAAATCCCGATGTCCAGCTGGACTAGACATTCACAATCGAGATGCTGTCTAGACAGGACAGGGAGCCGCTGTGAATCTGTGGCCAAACAGAGGACCCTGAGAAACGATGGGAAAGATCTGTGTTTGGGTCATCTGTCCATGAGAAGTCCAAAGAGGAATGACCTGGTCTGTCAACAATGACAGAGAATGAAATGGAAAGTGCAGCTAGAGGCTGGCAGAGCCACACAGGACATGACCAGGACATGGTGTGTGCAGAACATGTGTGGCTTTTGGTAAAAAAGATACAGAAATGCTGGTGACACACAGGGACATTAATCACAGAGCTTGAGAAATGGGAAGGGGATTACTACTTCAACCCTGGCGATGTTACGGTGGTCATGGATAAAAGTACTTACTTTATAGATACATGCTAAAATATCCAGGAGTGGATGAGAAGCTGAGCAGTAGTGACTGTGACTACAGTGGTGTAGTCACAGTCACTACTATTAGGAGTTCACAGCATCATCCTTTCTGTCCACAGGGGGACTCTTTTTAAAGCCACCATGGTCAGCCTTCCTGTTGCTGGTGCTGAGATGTTGTGGACGTCTTGTGGGGTGGCAGGCACATGTTTGATACTATAAGCTGCTAAATTTTGGTGGTTTTTTTTCCTCTGTTTTCCATACAGTTAGTGTCAACAAAAGCCCCAAGTCTGGAAGCATCTCTCTGAGGGGTCACTGGGACCCCACCCGGCATTCCTTTCCCACACAGTCCGGGTCTTGCGTGGTCTCTGAACCTATCTTAGTCAAAGCATCGTGGAAGTAACCATGACAAATGATTCCTTAAAGTGCATCTTACAGAATTAGAAATATGAAATTTAGAGTTCTCGAAACAAGCAGATCACAGGAAACTATTGCCTGTATATCTGAATTAAGAAGAAACAGGAGGGAAGAAAGGCCTGGATGATAGAGTCCCTGCCTTGGTTCTAGGTCCTGGGAGCCAGAGTCCTTGTGGGTAGATGGCTTTCACCTTTCACAGGTGCTCGCTAGAGTTGAGGTCTTTGTCTCTTGTACAGGACAACCTTTGGGCATCGCAGGATGTAATTGGATTGTGCTCCACTGTGAGAACCAGAAGTTACATAGATCATCACAGTGTGGGGCGTTTATAAGCTTGTCTACTTAGTTGGCCTGATGGCAACAGACACCCCAAAACTGCTTCCAAACGGTCATGCTGCAGCTTATTTTCATACCCTGCGGGGATTCTGAGGTAGGAAGGCACAGCACAGAAACGCCTTTGCTCATCATCTCAATGGTATGTTGGTACTCCGGAGACACCTGGAGAGTTAGTGTCCATTCCCAGAGCATCTCATGAAAAGCTGGACTCTGTGTTCATCTTTCTCACAAGCACCTCGCCTCAACCGTCATTCAACAATCATGGAATGAGATGGCTGGCCAGAAATCGGCAGTTCTCTCTCTCCTTTTAGAGAGAGCAGCTGCAAACACCTGGGTTTTGTGAAGACCGCTTACCTTGGTGAGTTTAATTGCAGAAGCGCATCTACAGGCTTGAACGGAGGTAAGTGCGGCGGCCAAGCCGAGCTGAGTGGCTGGGAAGGGGCCCAGCTCAAACCACAACCCTCTGCTCATTGTCGGGGAACCCAGATCCTTGCCAGCAGACAGGGCACTGGGGATGAGTCTGGTCCAGGTCCACACAGCCAGGCTGCGCACCAAGGGCCCTCTGCAGCACAGAGTTGGAGCACAGCCCGTCTCCGTACCATCTGTTGCCTGTTCCTAAGCTGCTGCTGGCCACTGTTCTGCAAAGCCCTTTACAACCTGGGCTGAAATCCCAACTCCATCTTCATCCGGGGCGGTTTGCCTCAGGGACCTTGCTCTTTACTTCAAATATTCCCTAATACAGCATTCACCAGGTTGTGAGGTGGTGTTGGCAAAGCCCAAGTGTTGGTTATGATTTGGTTAATGCCCCCCCCCAACAGCTGGGAATGTTTTTTTCACATGGCCTCATTGTTTCCTGTAGTATTTTAATACTTTTTTTAATATTTGGTTGTTTGAAACAATGTCTCGTGTACCCCAGGCTGGCCTCCAACTCCCTGTGTAGCCAAGGATAACCTTGAACTCCTCCACCTCCTGCCAACTCCCATTCTCAGCATTGTCTTCCAGGTTCCCACAGAAAAGCTCAGTAAGCTCTCAACACCAGTGGCTTTTCCAGCCCAAAGTTCCGAACACTCTTTCCCAAAACAACATGGTCAGGTTCGCCACAGCTCTACCCCACAATCCTGGCACCAGCTTCTGTCCTAGTCAGGTTCACGCTGCTGCAGCGAAGGCCATGACGAGAAGCAACTTGGGGAGGAAAGGGTTTATTTCGACTTACAGCTTCCAGTCCATCTGCTAGGGAAGGCAGGGTGTGAGCTGAAGGAAAAGACCACAGAGGAAATCGACTCACTGGCCTGCTTTCAATCTCACATTAAACTAGCTCTCATATTCAGCCCAGGCCCATCTGCCTAGGGATGGCGCTTCCCACAGTGGGGTGGGCTCTCCTTCACCAATTAGCAATCAAGAAAATTCTCCACCGATGGATGGCCTGCCCACAGACCATTCCAGTGGAAGCAATTCCCCAGCTGACGTTCCCTCTTCCCAGGTATTAAATTGACAACAATAATTAGCCACCACACAGGTGGGCACAAAAACACATTTATTTAAAATTTCGAGTACATCTGGTGACATCGTCATAAAGCTCAGAAGTACTTATAATAAGATAAAGTGATAGCACCCACCTAACTATAGAAGAAAATGTATTGATTTATTCCAGCACTGGGATTCCAGAATGAAGTGTTCCCACTCGGCTTGTGAATCTTCATCATAAGTCCTGCACAGAAAATCTGGGGACCAAGACCAAGTTGAAACTTAACATGCAAAGAAAGTAAGGTTTCAGGTGGAAGGTCTTCATCTTCAAGGCTAAAAGGGGCAAAAGAAATGGAAAACCCAAGGTTTCCCTCCCCATTTCTCACTCCCACCAGGCTGTGAGCCTCCCAGGAGTGAGAACACCCACTGCAGCTGTCCCCAGGCAGAAGTGGTCTATGGCATCAGCTGCCTGCTCCCTAATGGTCCTACCCAAGATCAGCACAGTCCTGGCCTCCTGCACAGATATTCAGACACTCGATTCCACAGGGTAGCTCCCTAGAGCAAGTGAATGCTAGTAGAGTTATACTTCTTAATGATTTCAAAGCCTCTAGAAGCCCTGATTCTCACCAGATATGTAGGGAGCATCTGGGCAGGGAGGGTAGACAGGGAGCCTATGCTTGGTTTGTAGTGACCTTGAGAGGGTAAGGTCCCACTGTGAGCCTGTGACCTAGAGGGGCTTGAGGGAGGATCCTGCAGGATCTGCACCTCAGGAGACCCACCTAAGATCACCTGCATCCTTGAACTCCACCAAATCAGCAGAGTTACAGTATCCACACCAATTTCTTAATACAACCTACCTAGTCATCTTCCTTCTTTCCTCCCTCTCTCCCTCCCTCTTCCTTCCCCCTCCCTCCCTCCCTCCACCTCCCTCCCTCCCTCCCTTCCTTCCTCCCTCCCCCCTCTCTTCCCTCCCTCTCTCCCTTCTGCCCTCCCCTTCTTTTCTCCTCCTCCTCTTCCTTTTCCTCCCCTCTCTCTCCCTCCTCCCTCTCTCCTACACCCTCTCTCTTACCCTCTGCCTTACCGTCAGCCGATTCTGCCCCAGTAACTTTCCCTCTTGCCCAGGATATGGCCCAAGCCGGTGATTGCCCAAAGCGGCCCTTTCCTGCCCAGTCTGCTGCTTGTCTGTTTAGTCATTGAGTTGTTTTCCGTTTGTCAGAATTTCTTGTGTTCAGTCATTTGTGTAGCAATGAAAAAGCACACCGTCTTCCCCACCATCCATCACAGAGAAAGAAAGAAAGAAAGAAAGAAAGAAAGAAAGAAAGAAAGAAAGAAAGAAAGAAAGAAAGAAAGAAAGAAAGAAAGAGGGAGGG